CTTCCGGGCACCCCAGCCCACCTGGAGTCACTGCACCGCCCTCGGGCCGGGCAGACCTGGATGGTGGGCGTGGCCTCCACGTCTCCGCCCACCAGCTCCGTCCCGGGCCTTTCAGAGCGCACGCGGGCCGGGCTGTAAGTCTTGCTCTCCTGCCGATACTTTATGGCTTTCTTAATTCGGCTCCTGCTACTATTAATGTAGTTAATGTTGAGATTATATCTATTTTCTGGCGTCGGGCGGTGATTTATCCCAGCCATTTTTCCGGTGTAGGCTCCCACGCTGTTAAATCAAGCGCCTTGCCAATTAAGTGCTGACTTGGGGAGTGAAGACAATCTCCCTACAAATTACACTAGCTCCCGCCTGGGGGACTGGACGGGCCGCGCGGAGACCTTGCTGACTTCGGGGAATAGATGAAAAATCAAACGGGGCGGTAGCCGTGCGGGGGTGGGGTGGGGGGCCTGGGAGTAGGGGTTCGCAGAACCAGGCTCAGAGGAAACGTAGGAGTCATGGGGGGCTGTGCACACCCACATACCCACACACCCCAGGGCGAATCCCAGTCTGCCGGGAAGCCCACTAGCCAGCACCCACCCATCCACAGGGACTATACCAGGATCAGACTCTGCAGGGGGACTGACGCAGGCACCCATGCTGCCTGCCCTGTGGCTGAGCACAAGGCCTCTCCTACAAAGTCTGCCATGTTGGGGACATGATCAGGCAGGAGGGCCTAAGACATGGCTGGAGTTCAATTCCATACTGATGATTTGACTACGTATCTACTGCGCTGTAGGATAAGCACTGAACTGTAAGCTGGGTTTGAAAGGTCAGCGGTTAAAACTTCCACCTGCTCCTCAGAAACCCTCTGTCGGGTCATTATGAGTCAGAACCAACTTAACAACAACTACTGCTAACTCCACAGACTGGGGACAGTCATTTCTTCAGCCTCCTGAGCCTCCACAGACGGAGAACACCTATAGGCAGGGTTCCTGTGTCCCTCCCTCTCTGCTGTGTCCAGACCTGAACTCTTCTTTCTGAATCACCTAGGAAACCTCACAGAGCTGGGGCTGCAAGGAGCCACACCGAGGCCTGTGTCCCACCACGGTCCCCAAATCCTATCCTCAGTCTCAGCCACAAGAGGGGCAGAGACAAGCCCACTTCCTCTGCTCCCAAAGGAAAGGAAACCGGAAACCCATGGCCAGCCTGCAAGTCGCCGGCCCCTTGCCCTTACTCCCCGTGCTTGGCACCAGGGGTCCAAAGTGGGGGCTGTACCAACATCATGGGCTACCCTCATCCCTGGGCCGCCAAGGGCAGACTGGCCAGGACTCAGGCTGCACACGTGAGTGCAGGGTGGTGGGCATGAGCTGGCACGGGGTTGCGTGAATGTAGAGACATGGGGTCACCCTGGCACAGGGCGCTGCAGACAACATGAGGTGTGGAGTGGAGGGAACAAATGCCTCGGCTGTCACACCATCTACAGTATGCGGCTCAAGTGCTCCCTTGTCCTAAGAAACAACAGCCACAGGTCACCTGCCAGCCCCTCTCTCAGGCACTCCTCACCAGCAGGGGACCTCTCGAGCACAGCGCACAGCGCAGAGGGACAGAAACCTACATGGGGGAAGAGGGGGCCCAAGGCTGACCAGGGAAGGGAGGACAGAGAGGAATGACAGGAAAGAGGGGCAAAGGCCCGCAAAGGCCCATGGACACAGATTCGACAAGCAGCAACAAGGCCCTCCCAGCCGCCCACTGCTGAGGACACTGTCCTCTCAATACATCCCTTCACCTCTGGGTCCTTCATCACCCCCCAGCACCCTGCTGGCTCCTCAAGGCACTCTGCACCCTGCCACAGCCCTGCCCCCACAGCATCCCTGGGCACAGCCAGGGTCCATTCTCACCTGTAGGGGGTGCAGGCCCCCAAAGCAACAAAGAGGTGCAGGAGCAGGTGAGCTGCCCTGTTGTGGAGCACTGAGGAGGGCAAACTGGGCTCCAAGCCAGTCACTCCCCACCCACACTGGTTTTAGGGCTGACCATCAGGGCCAAGGCATGCTGCCAATTCGTGCCACTGCCTCCCTGAAACCAGGAAGGGGCATCCGACACTGACCCACAGACGTGGGAAAAGACCAAGCTCTGGGTCAGCTCCCACTCAGGGGGCCCATGTGGTTTCAGCCCACTACCAGCAATGCCTGAACAGTGACCAGATATACATACGTTCTGTACATACAAGATCCAACCATACACACACACACACGTTCTGTACACATAGTGACACACATAGCCCACACATGTTCTATACACACAGAGTCCATCCATACAGTCCACACATGCGCACACACACATTCTGTAACATAGGGTCCATACACACACATTCTGCACACTCAGTGACCCACACAGTCCATGCACACACACACACACATGTTCTGTACACACAGGGTCCACCCACCTTGTCCACACACAGTCTATACACACAACTCACACACACAGCCCAAATGGTCTGCACACAGGGCTCCCACACAAGGAGCAGCAAGAAGGACGAGGTCTGGCCCCCCAGCCAGGGGTCTACATCCTGGGCCAACTCTGTGACCCTGTCCCTGGCAGCCTCCAACTCCAGGTCACTAAGGGCTGAAGGCCACAGGCTAAAGCCAAAAGTCCGGCCAACCCTTCTACAAAAGCTTCCGGAGAAAGATGAGGGCTGCCCTCAGGGTTGGCCAGCCCTTGGGGCTGATCGGGCCAGCTGGTGGACTGGCGAAGGTTCTTCTGTCCTTCATCTCCCCGAACTACCTAGGGTAGGGTGGGGTAGGGTGGAGTGTGCTTCTAGCCCCCAAGGGCCCGGCAGGCAGACTCGGCCCTGGCCCAGCCTGCTGTAACCGGCACAGCACCAGGTGGGGAGCTGAGAGGCCTGCCTGCCTCAGACAAACAGAGAAATCCATAAATCAACGCGCGCTTTGAAGTGACTTCCAAATTAAGAGTTGCACCCATGCTGTCAGCCCCCGCCAGCAGCTTCGGTGGCACCTTCCGCACAAAAACACATCTCAGCTCATCCGTTAGAATGATGAAGGCAAAGGGATCTCAAAATTGCACTCCTTCCTTAATGAGCAGCCGAAGGGATCGGTAAGCGTAATTTCAGAGGCCAGTAATATTTTATATAATCGCCGAGTGGTTTAAATTGAAAACCCCCAACTGAATCAATATTTACTGCATTGAAACGAAATGAATAGTAATAAGTCACTAAGCTCCCTGTCCTGTTTCATAAAATAAAAAATTATAAAAATGAGCACAGGCACAGAGGGGCCATCACATTACCTTTCACTGCACTTGGGGAGCTGTAACCGACTGTTCTCATAAAATAAAATTCTAAAAATCCTGCCGTGGAGACCTTAGCTCAGCACAGCACTGGGGAGCAGTGGGGGCAGGGGCCGGGTCCTAGTGGGCCTGCCATCAGCCCGCCCATCACTCCTCACTCCAGGAGTGGCCCAGGACTTCCAAGGACCCCCACAGCCCCATGGGCCAGTGGCCCAGCTGCTCCCTTCAGACAGCGGTGTGGGCACGGCACACAGGACTCCTGCGTGTCACATATATTGGACGTGAGACACCTCACTCTGTGAAGCTGAGGCGATTCTGACTGAAGCAGACGAGGGGTGTGCCGAGGACAATGGGCCAGGGGTTCCCCGCTGGGGGAAGGCCACAGACCCAGATAGAGGGTGTGCCTGCATATTCTGTGGATGGAACCGCTCACAGACATCAGATTTTCTTTGGTTGTGATGAGAAGTGTGGTGGGGCCTAAACTCACCTGAGTCAAGAGAGGAGACAGACGCCACTCTCCCTGCAGAGAGACAAGGAGAGGTCGTGCACGCAGGAGGGTGGGGCGCAAAGAAGGGCACACGCTAAAACCCTGACCTGGACACCTATTCTCAGAGCCCCTGACCCTGTGGGCAGGACAAGGTGGCTACAAAGGGCCTTGGAGGGCGCCACAAGGATACGAGCCCAGGATGGGACTTCCCACCAACACCAGGTCCCAACAGCCCAGATAAGTCTGGGTGCCATTCCCAATGGTGGAGAGCAGCAGGGACTGAGACCCACCCTGGCTACAAAGCACAGGGTCCCCCTCCTTCTTGGGGTATAACCAAGTATTTAGGGGAAAGACATGGTCCCCAGTTTCCTCACGCATGGTCTCATTAGCACTGGGGAGCGGGAGCATCAAAGACAGAGCGGGTGGGTATCGTTCAACTGGTATGTCAAGGGCAGGGACACCATGTGCTGTTTACAACTTTCTTGTCAGTGTAACTGTCACCTATGAAACAAACTCTTAGAGGAAACAGGAGCAAGCCAGGACCCTCTGAGGGCCTCCTCCTGCACCCACCGGCCGCTCCCCACCTCAAAGACCAACCTGCCACAGCACCTATGGCCAAGGTCTGGCTGGCAGACAGTGCGCCAGTCAGTAGGGCCCAGAGGCTGGCAAGCAGGGCAGCCATCAGTGGAGGCCTGCCCCCAGAAGGCTCATCTGCCCCTCTGCCAGCTCCTTACACCCACCGCTGGGATCCTGGGGGGTGAAGCATCACTTCCGCCTCTGGGGGCACCCTCTTGGCTACTGTTTGGGGAAGGGCTGGGATAAGTGGGTGAGCAGGTGAACAGGTACCCCTGCTCCTCAGTAGACCACCGGACTCCCAGACAAGTGGATATGCCTGCTCATCAGCAGACCCCCTGGCTCCCAAGTGAGTAGCGACCTGGCTCATGTGCAGACCCCCGTCCCTCAGTTCCCAAGTGAGCTGTGCCCCTGCTCATCAGCAGACACCCCCACCCCCACCCCCCAGTTCTGGTGCTTGGTGCAGCAGCGGGGGTGCCTCTTTAATGAGACGTCACTCTAGAGATACATCTTTGGATCCTGTGTCGCGTGCGGAGATTACTGAGATTTAGCACACAGACGCAAAACTAAAGTACAATGAGAAGAGTGGCGGGCAGCGGGCTCTGAGACGGCCCATTTGTCGTCGGGGGAGAAACCATCCATCTGCTTAAGCACAGAACTTCTGTTTATTCCGCACTTTCACATCCAATGAATTCAGAAAGAGGGAAGAAGTGACAAGCAGTTTAGGGACAGAAGTCACGTCTCAGCTTCAGCCCAGATTAACGAACGTGTTGAAAGCAGGCGAGGGGACAGGTCCATCCACAAATCTCAGGACAACAGAAAGATTAAATCTTGGCCAAATGTGCATCCCAGCCCTGGACGTACAGTGACCTTGGCGGCCTCGGGGCCTGCTCTGTGGCATGGCCACCCCAGGCAGGAGGGGCAACGCTGTCAGGGTCTGGGATGGCAGGGGTGCAGGGAACCCTTAGAAAGGAGGGTCTTGACGGAGGGGGACCGGGAAGGCACCTGGACCCCAGCCATGAGGCCTTCATCTTAGCCTCAGTACTAAGGCCAGATTTGGCATCTCTGTGACCATGCCCCACGCAGCCTGGCCCCACAGGCTGGAAGGAGGTGGGGTACGAGGCACTGGGACTATCAGAACCCCTAACATGTCTCAGCAGCGGCACACACATGTCTGAAACGCAGCGGCCAGCTACCTCTAAGTCACCCATGCAAGTAGACTGGGAAGGGGTAACCCACCTCTCCAAAGTCTCTGGGGTCCACACCCCCAACAGAGACCATCAACTTCCCCTCCTGCCAAGCCCTGGAAGAGACGCTGCTGGTCCCTCCCAAGTAGGAAAAGAGCTGACCCAGCTGGCCCCGTGTGCCCTCACATCGGCCACAGCGGTGCCCACCTGACAGGAAGCTTCACTCATCTCAGAAGAGTCAGTCCCTTAGGTTCAGAGGCTCAGAGCCAAACATGCTAATACACCACACGCTCACCTCTCCACACACACAATCACATCTCCCTACACAGACTCACACACACACACACACACACACATGCTTCTACACACTAATGCACACTGACAGGTGCTCACACGTTTATATGTATATATGTACACTCACTGAAGCTCAGAGACTCACACACATGTACTCAAATGCTGTCACCGATTACATGGTGACATGCGTCCACTCAGCTAAGCCTTGAACCTCAGTGGTTTGGCAATCGTTCCCCACAATGTGACCGGCCAGTCAGGTGTAAGGGGGTCGGGTAGGATGTCAGAGGACTTCCTGGGGTGCAGCCTGAAACACCTTTCATCTCACAAGAGATCAAAGGTGAGAAGAGAGCTGAGCAAGGGGACCAACTACCAACACAGAAAAGAGCCAAAAGCAGAGGCGGTCCTTCGGCCCCAGGGTCCCTGAACTGAGAGAGAACTCTGTAGACTCATGGAGCTACCTCTAAGGAATGCTGAGCCCCCAGATGTACAAAGGAGATGAGGGCCTTCCTCCAGAGCTGACTAGACCAAACCTTCTCCTAGTCGGCATCGGGATTGGGCCTCAGGCCTCCTCAACTGACAGGGTGCACAGCTGTTGGCTAATGCCACGCTCCTGTGCAGTTTCTTCAAGAGTCCCATTAAGGAACTTAGACACAGACCCACACCACGCTTTCACAAGGCACTCACATGCGATTACATGCACACCCACACGAGCTCACACTTGTCTACATGCTCACAGACATGCACACACACTGGAGCTCACACTTGTCCACACACTCACATGCGATTACATGCACACCCACAC